AACACACAATTTCTGAGTTCACAGAATCCTGTGCACTTTATGCACTGTACAGACTTAAGATATATCTACCTTATAGTCTGCCTGACTCCCGATCAACATGACTTACCTCTTTAGTAAGAATCTTGGTGAAGATGGGGGCTTAACTGTTGTGATTAAGAATTTCCATGTCCCCCTGAAGAAAATACTTTGAAAATAGTGAAACAGAGACTCTGATGCTTTTGCTTGCACATTCTTCTCACCAAAAGTTCTGGATTAAGCAAAAGCCGCAATGTGGGTGGGGGTGGGGATAGTGGGGTGTCAGGCATAAGCCTGAGATACTGATTTAGAGTTGGTGCCAGTGTTGCTAGGTCTTAAATATGACATTATCGTATTGGGAAACTCAAATTATGGTATTTTCTGAAAAAAACAAAAAAAAACTTGTACACTGAAAAAAATGCATGCAAATAAGTCTTCTTATTTACTTTACATAGCTCACTGTAAGTCTCTCCAGTGAGTGAGCAAGTGAGAAATGGGTCAAAGCTGAAGCATGTTATATGGATGCAAGCAGTCATAAAGTGCTGCTAATGAACCTAAAAGCTAGCTAAGACTCTCTGAGAATGACTTGGGCTTTGCATATGCTGCATCAATTAACTGCCTAAAAAATTATCATACATTTTGAACACTTTTGATATTATCTATTGTACATTGTGTACAGGTTGAAATTATTGTACAAATATGATAATTATTGTACACTTGGCAATACTGCTAGCTGGTGCTAGGCTGGCAGCCCCCCGAGAGCACTATACTGCAGCTGGTATCCAGGGACCCTGTGTCCCAGCAGCAGCCACCCTTGTCAGAGTACAGAGTGCTCCAGCTGTGGCAGGTAAGACTCTGCCTGAGGCCTGAAGGAGGTCACATATTTGTTCAACTGTATGCATATAACCTGGACCCTGATCCAGCTGTGTCCATAGCTCACTAGTAGGGGGTTCCCTCAAGCCTTTTGATGGCTGTTTCTATTTTTCCCCAATCAGTCGCTCATTGGTAACCCTTATCCTCCATCTTAACCCCAGGCATTCCTCTGACACACTGGGCAGCAGTGCTTGCACCACCTTTTCTGTCAGTGTGTCTTGATCCCATTCTTTATCTTCAGTTATCTCAAAAAACTTTCACCTTCTCCACCAGGTGTGTTGGGGCTTCTCCAGAGAGTCTCATGAATGCTCTCAGGGCAGCCAGATCTGTGGGTAACTTGCTTGGGGTTGTTCTCTTAATCCTTTGAGAAACACTTCCATCAAATCCCATGGTGATGAAGAGAGCCCAGCAGTTTGAAACAAGAGGCTCCTCCTGTGATGTCATGTCATTGCAGGTTGTGAGCCTATGAGAGGGCAGTTTGCCACTTGGTTAGGGGTCACCAACTACTTCACAGTTAGGGCGGCTAGGAGCTGGAACCAACTTCCAAGGGAGGTGGTGCTGGCCCCTACCCTGGGGGTCTTTAAGAAGAGGCTGGATGCCTACCTGGCTGGACTCATTTGAGTCCCGTTTTTGTTTTTAGGGTTTTTTGTTGTTCTCCCGCCCTGGCGGGGGGTCGGGCTAGAAGCTCTATTAGGTCCCTTCCGACCCTAAAAC